ATTCGAAACTGTTGCTTATGAGTACGTTGGAATAATAGATGGAACACGTTGTGTATATGTCTCTTAGGTATATGTGTATGGCGTATATGAATTCGCGTCGGCGCGGGCTTATATTGGAAGTCCCGGGACTGATCGTATGCGCGTTATTGTAGTAGCCGCGGTGTAGCGTGGGTGTATGACCGTTGGAGAAAGTGACTTGTGTGGGTGTGCTATGTATATGAGTACGGCGTATATGAGTTGCGTCGGCGCGGGCTTCTATTGTAGGGCCCGGCACGGAGTGTACGCGTGTTATTGTAGTAGCCGCGGTGTAGCGTGGGTGTATGACTGTTGGCGAGAGCGACTCGTGGGTGTCTGCTAAGTATATGAATACGGCGTATATGAGTTCGCGTCGGCGCGGGCTTGTATTGTAAGTCCCGGGACGGAATGTATACATGTTACTGTGGTAGACGCGGTGTAGCGTGAGTGTATGACTGTTGGCGAGAGAGACTCGTATGCGTCTGCTAGGTATATGTGTACGGCGTATATCTCTTTGTGTCGGCGCGGGCTTATATTGGAAGTCCCGGGACTGAGTATACTTCTGCTGTTGTAGCAGCCGCCGCACACACACAACAGGCAACGAGTCACGGCTCTCCGGTGTTATGAAAACACCTGTATACCTGTCAAGCACACGTGCTTGACGGGTGTCCGCTATTTTAGCGCTAGCTTCGCTTTGTTTTAAAGCGAAACTGTCGAACTTGTTTTAAGTTCTTTTTGCCGTGAGTTATTCACGGGCTCGCAGAGGAAGAAAAAGGAATTCAAACACATACGTTATGTTGTATAACGCCTCCGTGGGCCGTGTTGTACAGCTGGAGAGTTTGAGAGAGTAGCAGACGAGCTTGTTTTAAGCTCTTTGCCATGAGTTGTTCATGGGCTTGCAGAGTAGAGAAGTGAAGGAAGGAAAATGAATTTTTGAACTTACTCGTTATGTTTTATAACGGCTCCGTGTGCTGTGTTTTACAACTGGAGGTTCAAGGGAGAATGCGAGGTCTGTTGGTTTGTTCATCGGCTTTTTATACTCTCAGAATCTCTATTGTTTTAGGTGGGCTAAGTACATGCTGGAATTTGATTTGACCTAAGGTCGTAAAATTTACGAGTGGGCTGAACAAACCAACCGTCCTCGGATTCTCGATCTTTCTACGTCCCACGGGCCAAATCTTTATTATAAAATATTAGACATAATTGTTGACAAAAGTGTGATACAGTGAATTGTTTAAAATCAGTGAGTTGAGACGAGTGCAACGATACCAAACAGTGCATATTTACGATGACTCAGTGTTCGTTCGTGAAGTGCTATTGATTTCATTATTATTTAATTAATTGATAGATTACTTGAGTTTGATATCTGTGGTATAGTGACAATTGTTATTGTTTGATATTCTTGCACTCGGCTTAAAGCTTAATGTAATGTTGTGTTTGTAAATAATCATTTTGAGTCGTTAATACAGCCACGTGTAGTTATACTTCTATGGAGTTATTTTCTATTTAATTGACATCATTGAGTTATAATAAAAATTGAATTCATTAAACATAATAATTAAACATAGTGAGTTAAAATATTTAGAAATCATATAGGAATAATTAATCATTTGTTAAAATGAGATTCGTTAATCGGGTCGGTAACTTAGGAACTCTATGATCTAGGATTGATATTTTTCTAGTGTGGGTAATGGAGCGATTATCGATCGATCATGATTGTAGGCGGGGAAGAAAAAAACTTATGGTATTAGTGGCGGTGCTGGACGTCACAGTTGATTAGGGTGAGTTTGGTGCGGTTTAGGCAACGCATGTAAATGCGCATGTTGCGTACTACAGGGTTGGGCAGTCTGTGCTGTTTGCGTAAAAGCCAGCATCTCCTCAGTAGTCGATAGCGCTCAGGTGGCAGAATGGGAGCGGCACTAAGACGGCCGTCGCCGGCTTCAGGCAATACAAAAATCTTCGACACTGGGAGACGTTGGAATCGCGGTGCAGCGTCGAGAAATGATTCACGTGCGTGCAGTCGAGGCAAAGCGCAGCACGCAAGCATTGGTATCTGGTACATGTTTTGCAGCAGTGTCAATCTGAGAGATTGCAGAATTGGCGGCTGATCCTCGAACCTCGCAGTCATCATGACAGTCCTCCGTAACAGTAGATACAGGCGCGGGTGCTGTGGTTGAAGTTTCTTTAGTAGTTGCAATTCTCTCCTCGAGACTCGCGAAAGCATGCTCGCTTGCTGAGAGGCGTCGGCTGAGTTCTTCGGTGTCTCTGGCGTTTTGCGCTATTGCCTCCTCATGCTTGTACTGGGTTTTTACGATATTGTCCAGGCGATCTACGACTCGATCTAAATGGGCCATAATATTCTGATATAGTCCAAGGAACCAAGATGGTGCAGTGCAGTCTGGGTCATCGGCTTTAGGTGAAACTGTTGTATTGTTTTGATGTAAGGAAGGCATGGTTATGGCGTACAATAATTTTTGACACAGTAGTAGCAAGGAGAGAGAGAGCGCGATGAGTCAGTAAAGATTCAATGATCCTAGAGTACAGCAGAATTGTTGGTAACTAAAGTTAACCAGGCTCCTCCTTCACACTGAACTTTGGCTTCGTTTTTTCCTTGATACTTTAGCAGACAGCAGGTGCGCGAGAGAAGCGACGCAGAAATTTTCACGTCGCTAACCTCGAATTGGATGAAGAAAAAGTGATGCACTTATTGATGATTTCCAGTTGCAAGGACCAGTTGCAGTAAATGCCTTTACTGATTTCGGTTTCTTGCACTTTTTTACACGCAAGATCTACAAAAGAAAATGCCCGGAGGCACGGATACAGCAGAAACAGTGTGACGTTGCGCTATAGGCGAACGTCGGAGCACGCAAGCGACGCGTCATAAACGCGTCTGATGTGAGGTTTTTGTGTGAATGTGTGCATGAGTCGCGACCATTGTAGCCGGTACCACTGTGGCCTCTCGCGAGTGCAGTACCACGTGACTGCGCGCGAACGGCCCGTGCCCGATTACAAGTCGCGAACTCGGAGCCTGCACGTGTGCAGACGACGAGAGAGTTGAGTTGGAGCAGTCAGAGAGTGAAGACTAGTAGTTGGACCGCCGAGCAGAGCAGAGCTCTATGTACGCGAGCATTGTGGAGTAGTTTTGTCGGAGTGTTGTAGAGTTTTTGTAGTAGTGAAGTGTGCTGTTGGGTGTGAGTGAGTTGAAGGCGTGAATCGGTGAGATTGTGAAGTTGGTGGTCACGAATCGAGTGTGAGTGCTTGCGATCCGTGCGGCGCACCAAGAGTCGTCACCGAGAGTAACGAGTTTCAACCCATCCGGCCCGTCCCTTCTCGCGTCTGTGGCCAACAGGCGACTACGGAGAGAGCAGCAGGAACTTCTAAGACCCCGGCGACGCGGAGTCTACCCGTGTGGTCGCGAGCCTCGAGGGCGAGGAGTACCGTGAGTAGGTTTTTGGTATTACCGCGCTCGCGCCGACCCTCCAAACGGCAACGCAGCTCGCGTCCGCGACCCGGTGTGAATGTGAGTGAGATAGCTTCGGCTGTGTGTGAATGAATATTCAGAGTAGCTTCAATAAAAGAGTATTTGTTTTAACTGAAATTCACTGTCTTATTATTTACAAGACCCGTCGTTTTCCTTTCCTCTCTCTCTCGCGGACTTTCTCGTTTACAGGTGTTTTTATAGGTGCAGTGTTGCAGCCACCGGAGACCCCGCTCCATACCCGTCGGCGTCCCCTCCAGGAGGAGAGTCGTACCCACGACCCAGAGGTAGTATTTCACGCCCTTTCCCGTCCTTTACCGAGCTAGCCGGACCCTGGCCGACGACAAGCTGTCGCTTGTCTGGCGCGTCGGATATCGACAAAGTCGGCCAGGCAACGAGGAACGCCTTGTGCACGGTGGACACGGGGAGTCGACCGTCACAACAGATGAAAAATTCGGGAGGTCGAGAAAAACACGTGCCACTTGTACTCGACAGAGAGAGAGAGAGACTCTGCTGCACGAGGGAGGCCCCAAGCGTGGCGTCGCTTACGATGGCGGTGAACCTCCTGAGAAGATCACCAGAATGAGTCTCGTAACTCAAGGGGACAACGGGGCAATCAACCCAGCAGCTGGCATGGTCAACATTCTGCCTTCTCGACTCACAGTGCTACTTAATGCGCTTGTCCGAATCAGCGGGCCACAGCAACAGATCATCACGGTGCGATCTCTTTTCGACAACTGTTCGGAGGTGTCACTCATCGCGCATCCACTCGCCCTGAAGCTGCAGGCACCTATCCAGGAGATCAACACTGATATCTCCGTCATCGGCGGGGAGTCGCCCAAAGATCACAACTATGCGTCACCATCCACTTACACCTACCGGGGGCCAGGACACCCATCACCATCGAGGCCAGTTGTCTCCGTCATCTCGGCATCACGACGCCAGTAAAATGACTGCCACTCGAGGCGGTCCCCACCAAGATGCAAGGCGTTTTGGCCGACCCGCACTTCTACAAGCCTGAATCCGTGGATCTGCTCCTAGGTGCCAACGTGCGGCCGTATTTGATGAGAGAGGGGCTTCAACAATTCAACGGTCTTATTGCTCAAAACACGTCAGCTGGCTGGATCGTGTGGGGTGGCTTTCATCCACGTCCCATGACCGCATCTGGTCAATGCCCGACCATGACTGTAGAAGACACTGAGCCGACGTGGCAGCAACGACTCACATCTCTACTTCAGCGGTGTTGGGAAACAGAGGAGCTGCCTCCTGTGAAGCGGAGCTCTCTGATAGATACTTGGGTTGAGAATCTGTCGCCCAACATCATCGCGATCCGACTGGACGATACATTGCTCGACTGCCAGTCAAGCCTGACTCGGAGCAACATTTGGGTTCTAGCTAGACTTCGGTACGAGCTTCACTTGACTCTCTTCACCGACGAATGACACGCTGTCCACGTCTCGCGCAAGAGTATCGCTCGTTCATGCAGACTTACATCGAGTTGGGGCACATGACTGAGTTACCTACACCCGAAATCGACTGCAAGCAGGTCGCCCATTATATTCTGCATCATAGGATTTGGCAAGCCAGCGATCACGGCCCGACGTTGAGAGTGGTTTTCGATGCTTCCCGACCGACATCAACAGGTGTCAGTCTTAACGACGTGATGTTCCGGGGTCCCAAGCTTCAGCGAGAAATCTGGCTGGTGCTCCTTCGCTGGCGTCAACATCGAGTCGCCTTTTGCATGGACGTGCAGATGATGTACCGGCAGATCATGATCGACGACCGCGATGTCGACTGGCAACGCACACTTTGGAGCCCAAGTGCATCAGAACCAGCGCGACATTATCGCCTGAAAACGGTAACCTATGGCACCACGTGTGCGCCCTACCTGGCTCTACGCACCATGCAACAACTGTACACTGATGATGGCGCTCAATTGCCTGCCGCGAGACACGCTCTTCTGCACGATCGGTACGTGGACTACATATTGTCCGGCAGTGCGGATCTGTCCACTGCGAAGGACCTGTGCGATGAATTGATCCGACTCATGAAGGCAGGCGGGTTCACCTTGTGCAAGTGGGTCACCAACGATCCACGCCTACTCGAAGAGCTCGACACTGACACTTGTCTACGACCCGATTGGGTAATGTTCACTGATGAAGACCCGGTCAAGGAGCTCGGGGTCGCGTGGAACCTGAAGCGCGACTCTCTCTGTCTCCGTTACTCCAACTCCGAGAGGGAGCCGCGAAGTCCTCGCTGCGCTCGCTCGCATCTACGACCCTTGTGGTTGGTGGCTCCCGCTACGCTTCTCGACAAAATGCTGGTACAGGACCTCTGGAGGGTTCGCCTGGACTGGGACGACGAGCTCCATGAGAACGCGATCCGCGAGTGGAAAACCATTCGCGAAGGCCTCGATCGACTTACGGAAGTGAGCATACCGCGCTGGACTCAGTCAACGCCCACTTCCATTGACGCACAGATTCACGTTTTTGCTGACGTTTTCGCGTCGAGCGATGGCCGCTGTTGCTTACTTACGTCGCCAACAAGAAGACCGCGCTCATCTGCATCTGCTCGTCGCTAGGACAAAACTTGCGTCCATCAACAACAACAACCGCGCATGACCATTCCACGTCTCGAGTTACGTGCGGCCTTTCTTGCCATTCGCCTGCTGCATGCCATCTGCTCGGAGCTGTCAATCCGCATTGAGGATTGTTTCGCGTGGTCCGACTGACGCATCGCGCTCCATTGGATTCGATCCGCCGAACCAACTGGCAACTCAATCGTGGACGGATACGTACAGCAAATACAAGAATTGGCTCCGACTGACATTTGACAACATGTATCCTCGGCTCAGAATCCAGCTGATGTGGCTTCGCGAGGTGCCAGTGTACCCCAGCTTCTCGATCACGACCTGTGGCTCGCCGGCCCTCAATGGCTGACGAGGTCACCTTCAGCGTGGCCGTCAATTCACGGCTCTTTCGACGACTCACTTCCTGGCAGCCAGGGTGCCTGCTTTCTCGTCGCAGCCCGAGAGAATCCACCAGAAGACTATGTTGCCCGTTTCTCGGATCTCGGACGGTTGTTGAGATTCTTGGTCCGCTTGCGTCGTTGGACGCGACACAAGCTTCTTCCCGAAGCGACACCTGAGGTGCTTGCACCAATTACTTGCGCTGAGTTGCATGTAGCTTTCCAGGCTTGCGTTCGACGGAGTCAGTACCAGAGCTTTGAGCGAGAGCTCACCATCTTGCAGGCCAACCTTCCTGTGCCAGTTCGGAGTCCGTTGGCTTCAGTCGATCCCTTCATCTTCTCCGATGGGCTTCTTCGAGTCGGCGGGTGGCTGCACCACTCACAACTGTCCTTCAACAAGAAGCACCCACCAATTGTCGACGGGTCCAGCGCCTTTGCATCCCTCATCATCAGCTGGGCTCATTTGCAAGCGCTACACAGCGGCTTTCGGGCAACTTATGTACAATAGGGTGGTCCACTTTTTCAAAAATTTTTTGTATCTCAGGGAATCCATCGGAATCAGAAAGTTTGAGGTTTAAAATGAATTTTCCCGTAAACTAGAACTCAAAAAAATGATTTTAGATGTTGTCGATGGATTTTTGAAGTTTAAAAGCGTGCTCCAAAAAAGAAGCAAAATCGGGCTATTATTTGATTTATTTCAAACTCTGTTTAGAGTGTAAAAATAATCTTGACAATACATTTTCTCATGTGTTTTTGTCTGCAGAATCGAATGCCGTAGTCAGTTTTGACAGAATGAACAGAAAAAATCTAGAAAATTTTTTGACACCACCAAAATTTAGGATTTTTTATGACAAATCCAATGGTATAAATTAGTATACACTTTGAAATTATTTTAATGCAAAAAAATACAACTTTATCCCAAAAAACGACATTACGAAAAATTGAAAAATCGAAAAGTGTATTAGTTTCTTCCTGGAAATGGCTAAGTAGAATCAACTATGGAAAAAATTGCATGAAACTATCTGATAGGTTTTTTTCTCACCTTTCCAACGTCAGTTTCAGAAGTTAAAAATTCGCAAGATTCGCTGAGATACAGCTATTTTTGTACGATGCATTTTTTAGGCTTAAAATTCAATAATTCTGAGCTAGCTCTATTCATTAAAAAACCAGCGAAGCAGAATTTAAGCTAAAAAAATTGATCGTACAAAAATAGCTGTATCTCAGCGAATCTTGCGAATTCTTAACTTCTGAAACTGGCGTTGGAAAGGTGAGAAAAAAACCTATCAGATAGTTTCATGCAATTTTTTCCATAGTTGATTCTACTTAGCCATTTCCAGGAAGAAACTAATACACTTTTCGATTTTTCAATTTTTCGTAATGTCGTTTTTTGGGATAAAGTTGTATTTTTTTGCATTAAAATAATTTCAAAGTGTATACTAATTTATACCATTGGATTCGTCATAAAAAAATCCTAAATTTTGGTGGTGTCAAAAAATTTTCTAGATTTTTTCTGTTCATTTGCCACTCGCTCGAAAATGAACTTTGCGGAATTTGCGAAAAAGAACGATCGAAAAAGTGTATTTTTTTGAATGAAATTGGGCTCCTAGCTCAAAACTAACTACGGCATTCGATTCTGCAGACAAAAATACATAAGAAAATGTATTGTCAAGATTATTTTTACACTCTAAACAGAGTTTGAAATAAATCGAATAATAGCCTGATTTTGCTTCTTTTTTGGAGCACGCTTTTAAACTTCAAAAATCCATCGACACCATCTAAAATCATTTTTTTGAGTTCTAGTTTACGGGAAAATTCATTTTAAACCTCAAACTTTCTGATTCCGATGGAACCCCCGAGATACAAAAAATTTTTGAAAAAGGGGACCACCCTAATGTACAAGTACTACAACGAGTCTTATCAATGGCAAGCGGGCGATTCGTCGTCACATTCACCACTGCATCACGTGTGTCGCAGCGAGGTCAAGAGCGATGTCGCAGATCATGGCTCCTCTCCCGCCAGAGCGTATCACACCCTGTCACGCATTTGCTCGAACTGGGCTAGACTACGCTGGCCCGTTCAAAGTATAGGCTTCACGAGGACGAGGCGTTCGTGCCTCCAAGGCATGAGTCGTATTTTTCTTCTGTTTAACCACGAAGGCAGTGCATCTCGAATTGGCTGGCGATCTCTCCACCGCTAGCCTTCTCGGAGCCCTCACCCGATTCAGCGGACGCCGCGGTCGACCCTCGGAGTTATGGAGTGATAATGCAACTCATTTTCATCGCGCCGACCTTGAGATCCGTAATGCGTTGAACAACGAACGTCTCAACTGGATCACGATCTCCGATCGTCTCGCTGAGGACGGAATAAAATGGAGTTTCAGCGGTGAAGTCGTTCAAGGCTCATTTGAAGCGTACTCTGGGGCCACGGCGAGTCACCTTCGAAGAAATGTCCACGATCTTAGTGAGCATCGAAGCAGTCTTCAACAGTCGTCCCCTGTGTCCAGTGACTAATGACTCCGACGATCTTCACGTCTTGACTCCCGGACACTTCCTCTTGGGTACTTCACTGTCACCATTCCGGAGCAGGACGTCAACGCTGGTGCTATCGATCATCTCTACCATTGGCAGCTCATTCAAGGCCTGCGAGTAGTGTTCTGCAAAAAGTGGAGTCGTGAGTACCTGAACACATTGCAGCAACGCACGAAGTGGCTTCGACGGCGCGATTTGATTGCTGTCGGAGATATCGTCAGCTGATGGATCCCTCTCTACTCCGACCTACTGATCGCTGGCCTCTCATCGAGGTTCATCATGGTTGCGACGGATCAATTCGCACTGCAGTGGTCAAGACTGCCCACGGAACTTACACCCGCCCAATAGTCAAGCTGGTCCTTCTCCCCGTCCGTCCAGAGCCGTCTTATAGCCCTGACAACGACGATGACGTCCCCTGGCACGGCGGGAGGCCTGAGTAACTCCAGATCGTTCCAGGAACGAGGCGGGCGGTGTTTTAAATTAGCGCGGGCGAATCCAAGCCCTTCGGACCGTTGGAGTCAGCACTAGGCGCTCGACTCGAGCGCCGCGCTTCCTCCCGCTCCGCACGGTGAAGCGCGTTGTCACTGTCGTTGCAGATCAACGCGCGAACACCGTTCGCGACTGTGCTTCTACGACGCGACAATTATCATTTCTGATATTCAAACCTTTGTACGTGTAATCAAACGTAATATTTCTTTGTGTTAATTAAAAAAACCGATTGTCAACCTGAGCCCCTATGTTTTGTGTGTCGTTCTTGTGTGCTCTCCTTCCAGTCTTGTTGAAAAAGCGCACTACGACGCAAGTAAACAAGTCGTCCTAGCTTGCGACGCATCGGCATACGGCTTATCGGCAGTGCTCTCGCACATATCGACCATCCCTACGCAGAGTATCTCTGTTCCAGTGATGCGCGATCAAAAAAAATCTCTCCTGAAAACTTGCGACGAAAAAAAACTCTCTTTCAAAGATGAGGTCAAGAAAATCTCTCCAAAAGAAAATGCGGTCAAAAAAATCTCTCCAGAAAAATTGCGGTCAAAACAATCCCTTTTAAAAAAATATTCACGAATTAAAAAATAAATTAGTAAAAATTAAGCAATTGAAAATTGCAAACAAAGATACAAAATAAAATAATTTATTCTTATTGTTTTAACGTAATTAGGATATTCGGAGATACTGTTGCTTGGAGAAGCAAAGAGCAGAGTGTCGTGAACACTTCAACATGCGGAGATGAGTACTATGCTACAAGCGAGGCATGTCGCGAGATAATATCCTTAGACAAAGCGCTGAGAGATATCGTAGGCAGAACATTCTACCCAGTGACTGTGAGATGTGATAATAGATCAGCAAAAAGCTGCACAGAAATGGAAGGGAGTCACAAATTGAAATGTTTCGATGTGCCCGTTCACGAGATACAGTGTTGTTGAAGAGAGAGCGAGAACAGGAATAAAAGTTCCTATGTCAATGACACACGGAGATTTTATAAAGCAGTGCGTTAAAGAGAATAGAGTTAAAGTAACATTGGTAGCTTCTAAAGATAACTTAGCAGATATTATGACAAAACTTTTGCCCTCCTCTACTCATAAAGCTTTAAAAATTAAAATTAATAATAAAGAGATTAGAAACACATAGTCTGAAGAGAATCACAAATTTTTATTTTTGTGTTACAGATTACGAGAATGACGAGACAAACGGCTCGGGAGGGAGTGTCGGCAAAACATAGATCGCCGTATCTGTGTGAGCCGTGTGTACAAGTGTATGAGGGGGCAGGAGTGGACGAGGTGACCGCGCGAGGCAATTCGCACGAGTCTCTCTCCCCCTTCCATACGCGTACATGCGTGTGTGCCTCACTCGATCGTTGTCCTTGCAGCTAAGCAGAGCTCGTCACGAGACTTATTTGCTTTTTTCCAATCCTTATTTTTTTCTTTCTTACCTACTAAGTTTTTGACCTTGTGTCCAATTATTTTTGTTTAATTTGTGCAAGTGCACAGTGAAAGTGCCCGTGGGTGAAAATAAAGTGTTTCACTGTTCTAAGAGAACATCAAGTGTTTTTATTTGTTAACTCACTCCTCATCCTTTGTGACGATGTCACTGGCGACGATCGCGCGTCGTGTGGTGTGAACGCAGCGTGTATACATGTGTGAGAGTTGCGACCGACCGACCGTATAGGTTGAAGGAGGAGCTAAGCGTTCCTAACCTCCACGCGCCACGGCAGAGTAGGCACGTGCCTGTTACCGGCCGAGCGAGCGGCGCGGCGGCAAGTCACAACAGCAGCAGAGCAACGAGCAGGGAGGAGGAAGACGAAGGCAGGAGAGAGACGACACGTGAAGCGGCCATTACGTGTTACCGCGCAACCGAGTAGAGAGTGGTAGAGAGTTCTCGAGGAGGAGAGAGAAGCTAGTGAGCTGAGTGTACAGCGAGTCCAAGGCGAAGCTGAGTGAAGCAGCAGCAGAGTGCGATTGAGTCGCAGAAGTCGTGAGTGTGGGCCCTGTCCTAGGCAGAGTGGGAAAGTTGCAGCAAGCGCAAGACGTCGCGCGTACCACCCATCGAGAGAGGTTAAGTCAACGGTCGAGAAGTGGCGCGGACCCGATATCTAGCCGGACTCGGACATAACCTCGCACCACAACAACGAGCAGACAGCAGGCATGGCATCGCAGAGTCGCAGCGAAGACGTCGTAAGCGTTTAGTAATTTGTATCATAGTCAATCTTGGTCGGTCGTGTGTGTGCAGAGTGTAGCGTATTGTACGTCGCTGTGTGTGTGCGTGAGAAGTAGTACGTCGCGTAGTAGATTAAGTCGAGTAAAGTATTTGTCATTGCGTAACGAGAGTCGTCCGAGACGAGCAAGTCGCTTGTACGTCGCGCGCGTTCGATTGTAGATCATCGGCCATCTTTGCGTTTCGTCGTCATCGCGAGCACGGCGTCCGTAGAGCCGTCGCAGGCCGAACGTTGCGAGGTCACTTCCGCTTAGTGGTTAAGCGCGCGTCACGACATCGGGATCCTAGCAGGGCACGCGTTGTGACCCGGTGCTTCCCCTTGGACTTTCGCGAGCGAATTCACGTGGTATTACACGCTCAGGCTAAAAGAGTAAAATTTGACCCATAAAGGTGTATTCTGCGCACGCAACACCTTTTTAAAAGTGTTACCAACGTAGATTACACTTTTACAAAAAAGTTGAGGGAAAAAAGTGTAATTCGGTCAAATAACACTTTCAAAAAGAGTTGGAAGAACAAAATACACTTTAAAGCATTTTACACTTTTCATAAAAGTGTTATTTGATCGAATTACACTTTTAAAAAACCGTTGCATGCATGAAAAGTGTAAATCGTTCTAAGAACACTTTATGTGCTTGATCGTTCGTTCAGTTATAAGAGCTGGAAATTATTTTTAGTTTTTTATTAAGTTTATTGGTGCTGAGTTGAAAAAAAAAAAGAAATGAACGTACTGAACGTTACAATTGAGTCTACTGTGAAAAATGTAAGTGTAACGTTTTTTTCAACTTCCATTAACGCCAAAAGTTACTTTTCAAAAAGTCATTCATAATTTGCCATTATTTAAAGCTTAAAGAATATGAATGTGAAGAGCTGGCAGATTATTTAATGTCAAAGAAGATACCCCTGGAGACGATCGATATTTTGAAAGGTATACAAAAATCTTATTATAAACTTGAATGTATTTTGAATATTCATAACCTCTTCAGATTCATTCAATTATGTGTCAATTTGTCGTGGTACTCTTGCTCTATATAACTGTGGTGGTGAGATATTCATATGTATACATAAATATATCGATACATGGTGAGCAAGTATTTTGAAATAAATTTTTAAGGGTACGAATATGCCTCTGGTCAAGGTGCTTTACTCTACGTATGTGTGGTGATGTGGCTCATTGTTACGCAAGCATTTTGAAATAAATTTTTAAGAGTACGAATATGCCTCTGGTCATGGTGCTTTACTCTACGCATGTGTGGTGATGTAGCACATGATGTACATGATGTACATATGCCTCTGGTTATGGTGCTTTACTCTACGCATGTGTGGTGATGTAGCTCATGATGTACATGATGTACATCATGTGCTAATTAATATGTAGCTCATGGTACCATGAGTACATGATGTACATCATGAGCTACATCACCACACAAGCGTAGAGTAAAGCACCTTGACCAGAGGCATATTCGTACCCTTAAAAATTTCTTTCAAAATGCTTGCTCACCAGGTACTGATATATTTATGTATATATATGAATAGCTCACCACCACAGTTAATGAAGCAAGAGTAACATGACACATTGACACATTAAATGAATACATGAACAAGCAACATTCAACACATATATATCTATGTATGGGTCAGATTCAGAATTTTTCAAATAAACCTGCGGGCGAGGTTCGCGGATTTTCCTGAAATTTTGGTATGTTATAGTACATGATAAAAAAGTGCTGTTTATTTCTCGAATTCCTGGAATTGAGGTTTCTGGGAAGGAGGGAATTGAGATACACCACAATCACGATTCACGTAGTTGAGTTCTTTATTTATTGATGGTATCATAAACACACTAGAATAGTAGTGAAATACAGAAAACGTGAGCTCCGCTCTCGAGCTCGGTCAGTGAGCGAATGAGCCCGAGCGCTCGGCCGCGCCGGCTTATATAGCCGCTCGCGCACATGCGCAGTGGCCTCGGCGTAGTAGCGAGTGCGCTCGATTTAAATTCAAATCATACAAACCGACCGCCTCGTTCCATGAACGAAGCCAATAACAGGACAAACAAAGAAACATTGAGTACAAATTAATTCAACTTTCGGGCAACGAAACAACGAAACAAACAGAACGAATATCAAACAATTGAATGGGCTATAAGTTTGCAAAATTCGATGGTGAAATGCCAAACTAAATTCTATGGAGTCTGGAAGCGTCCTGGCTTGCCGGATGCACGCTGATGTCTCGGACAAGTTGTCATTTTCCATTGGGTAGTAACAACATCGAATTGA